TAAATCTCTTGGATCTTCATTTATGTTAAAAATATATACCAATCGGATCTTGTAGGAATGCCCCCACTGAAATTATGGAAAAACCCCTCTACATAAATTTGTCCCCCCTTATATAAATTTCTAAATCTGTCCCTAAATGCATCTAAAAATTGAACGTTTTATCATTTTTCTAAATTTTATGTTCTTATTAACTTCACCACCTAAAACTTTTTGAGTCTGTCTCAGTAATATTATCTATCATGCAAATTGTACCATTGGCAATGATGTGGTATGATTTGCATGAGATGATGCTGTTGAGAGGAAAAAATTAAAGAAAAAAGGAAAGAAAAGAAATAACAAGTTGAACATAGTTAAAGAAAAGAAATTGACAGTTATATCATGATCATAATTAAGGGGAGTTTCTAACTTTGTTACATATTATATATAATTTTACATCACTTTTACAACAATAACATTTTCATGTATCTATTGCATTATCATATAATACATGCGAATGGATTAACTTGAGTTTTTACTTTTTGATTGATTTTGTTTTTCATGTATAATGATAATTAACGTGATGCAGCTGCATTAACATTTGGCTATTTGTACAAGGGTTAAGTGCAAAAAACCCCTCTAATATATAGACTTTGTGCAGAACATGTCCCTACTTTTTGAAAAAGTGCACGCAAGTCCACAAAATTCAAAAAAGGTGCATAATCGGTCCGTCTGACAACCTTTTACAAAAGTAAAACTGAAAATCCCATTTTACCCTTTTGTTTCCCATTTTACTCCTCACCATTTGTGCATATAACCTCGCCGGAGATGGGACCGGATTTTCGTCGAAAAATTCATCGGAATCAGATTTTCGCTGGAGAAGACGCGTGGGGCGTGTGACAGCGCGTGAAATCTACGCGTAGAATTTCATGTGGCGCATGTAGGCGCGTGTAACGTCGCCTGTGGCTTTTATTTGCAGCGTTGTGTTCATCTTGGTCTTGTGGACCTTTTTCGGCGATCAAAATGTGGTTTTGATCACATTTAATTTCTGCGTTGTTGGCTCTCTTTCTCTCTTATCTCTGTAATTTTCCTACTCTTTTTGGACATGAACTGAAGTTACCGAGAGAGACGACGTGATCAGATGAGAGAGAACAAGATTTACGACTCTGTAGAGAGAGAAAATCAGATATATTGTATATGATAATATATATACTTTTTTTTTTTTCCTTATATGATATATATATACTAATATATAGAGATATATATTGTATATGATATATAGCACAATAGAAATTCCAACATGGCCCAGTAGTCACTTTTTTCTCTGAACCAATATTGAACTCCTGGGCTTTCTCTCTAGGGCATTGCTCACATTCAGAACATCTATTTTCGTCATAACTTATCAGATCCAAATGGAAAGAAGAATCTTCCTTTTTATTTATTTATTTATTTTCCTTATATGATATATATACTAATATATAGAGATATATACTCTGGGTGGCTTAACAAGATTCAAGAGGAACTTGCAAATTTACGAAAAATTCGTCTTGAATGCTTATTTCAAAAGGAATTTGGGCTGTTCATGTTATCAGATTTACCATACTAAGATATACAACAAATTTACCGGAAACATGTCTTATTGTTTCACCGGAAAGCCCGTAAGTGACCAGTTCGATGGTCTACACCGCAGACAGTGGGTCGTTGCCGCTACCAGTGGCAGTGGGATTGACATCGAAACCCAAGGAAAGTTTCTCAGAGGCAAGGAAGAAGCCACCCAGGCTACAAAATCACCAGTATCAGAAAGAAATCTCCTAGTATTCAGAGGATGTGGAGAAGAAGAATCATGAGAAACTACCAACATATTCCAATTATTCTAATGTGACATTGAGATTAAAATTACAATTTAGTTTCAATCATAAACCCTAGAAAGTTCCAAATCCAGAGTCCAAAATAGTTACCCATCTCACTGAGTGATTTTTATGGCTTCGCAACCACCCTCTTTCTCTCTAAAATAAGAAAAAAAAACTTGAGATCCTCACAAACACACTCCCATCTTCAATCTTTTAGGTACACGGATTCAGAAAAATACTCTTAGAGAAAGCTGCTGTAGATTTTAGGAGAGAAGAGAAAGAAAAAAATAAAAAAAATAAAAAAACAGAAAAAGAAAAGAATAAAGGACCTAAAATGGTAATTTTACATGGTCTAATTTTTTTAATAATATTTCATTTATATTAGAAAGGGTATTATCGTCATTTTACATGACTAGGGACCCAATCGCACCAAATTGATAGTATAGGGGTTTTTTTTACCACACAAGAACTGATATGTACTATATCTATAATAGAGGAGGGTTTTTTATACTTAACCCTTTGTACAACTACTATAAATATTTAATTGAACATCAAATATGATATATATTTATATAAATTCTTTATTTTGTAATGGATAATAAATGCAACATTTGTACAAATGATGGTACAATTCTCTTTGTCCTTTTTTTTTTTTTCTTCCCCGAATGGGGAATTCTCTTATCTTAATCTTAACATGAGTGCCACCATCCATGATGGATGTCAATTGTCAAAGGAATACTTAATTCCTAATTGTACAACAAATTTTAAAACAAAAAAAGAAAAGAAAAAAGAAATAGTGAACATTGCTGATATTAACCTTGATTTTTGTTAGTATTAGTATTATTTTGACAATTGTAGTGTTCATTTTAAACAAAAGAGATTAATTTATTAAATATTGTCATTAATTTGATAGAATTTGAAAATCTTATTGTTAGTTGGTCTAATCTTCCATCGAATCAGCCAGACTGACATGCGCCTACATGTCCCCACAATCCTGGGTAATTGCCTATCGTGAAGTCCATTTCACCACACAAGTGCTCGTGAGTTTACGAGATTGACAAATTCGGCCAACTTTAATTGACTTCTCCATACAAATCGTTTTTAAAGATTTAATTCAATTATAAAATATTTTTTTTATCTCGTAGGTATGTAATTGCCTATCGTGAAGTCCATTTCACCACAGCTCGTGAGTTTACGAGATTGACAAATTCGGCAAACTTTAATTGACTTCTCCGTACAAATCGTTTTTAAAGATTTAATTCAATTATAAAATATTTTTTTATCTTGTCTTAGGTATGTAATTTTTGTGATTGAACACTACTCATTTATTTTTTATAGTTGTGAATGAGATGGTTATGTAATGGTTTTTCATTGGGTATATAATTAGGGTTTTGATGGATTATGTTTAGAAAAAATAGACTATACTACACCTTAGAAATAGAGTAGTTAGGTAAATAGTTTATGCTAATCGAAATAGTCTATGTTTAGCTTCTTTTTATATTATTTTCTAGCTGAATTAATATGTGATTATAGTCATAATTAATTTCTTATGCATGTTTTATATCTCTCTAATAAATTGATACAATTGACTGGTAATGCGACGTTAGTGGATGAATCATGTCCCTAGTCTCTTCTCTCTTATTTTCCTCATCTAATTTAATTATTGCTTTTAATTTTATTTTCTATTTAGTTGATTAGATTAAATCATTAAAACTTATTTGTCCTACTTCAAGCTAATTTAGAATTTAAGAAGTTTGTTAATAACTTCATTAATAATAGTGTCTTGAGTATGACACTCTTATAAGAAACCCTATCTACAATGATTTATGTGCTTACGAGTGGTTATATCTAAACTTACAACAATACGAGCACATGCCATAATTTTATACGTACCACTTGACATGTACCATTGATGTACTGCATGCCATGTTAGATAAAAAATTGAGAAAGTACAACCAAAACGTTTACTTTCCAAAAATCGTTATCCATAGTAGTTTAAAATAAATATTTAATTGAATGTCAAATATGATATATATTTATACAAATTATTTATTTTGTAATGGAGAATAAATGCAACCTTGGTACAAATGATGGTACAATTCTCTTGTCCCTTTTTTTCACCCATTGGAGAATTCTCTTATCTTAATCTAACATGAGTGACACCATCGATGTCAATTGTCAAAGGAATGCTTAATTTCTAATTGTACAACAAATTTTAAAACAGAAAAAAAAGAAATAGTAAACGGGGGAATGAACATTGCTGATGTTAACATTGATTTTTGTGAGTATTAGTATTATTTTGACAATTGTAGCGTTGAATTTTAAACAAAAGAGATTAATTTATTAACAATGACATTAATTGATAGAATTTGGAAATCTTATTGTTAGTTTGTCTAATCTTCTTCCATCGAATCAGGCATGCGCCTACATGTTCGTCCCCACAGTCCTGGGATCGTGAAGTCCATTTAACCACATAAATGCTCTCTTTATGTGACAAACCCGGCCAACTTTACTTGATATCGATTTTGCTCCTAAACCCAATTGACTCGTATGTACCAATTCAATCGTGAAAATTGTCCAAATAATTCTAATATTTTTCTTTTTCAATTTAGTTAAGCTCACGTTGCTCATCAGTCAAACAAGAAGAGTAGCTATAGGCTTTTAGTCACGGTCTAATTGGAAATTTTGATGGATCTATCCTATTCCGAGCCACATCAGCATCGAAACTCAAGTTGAACACGTTCTTGCCTAAGCTACACACACTCGTTTACATCCAATGTTTTAAAACATGCCACTTTGATGAATAGGAGCACATGCCCTAATTTTATACACACCACTTGACATGTACGGCTGATGTACTTCACGCCATCGTTACATAAAAAATTGAGGAAGGTACAACCAAAGCGTTTACTTCCCAAATTTGTATGGAGTATACTTTAGTATATCTTTTGCTGAAAATACTTGAACAAAAAATGGGGGCATGTAATTCTCTTGCTACTTTGAAACACATGCTTACGTGCAAAGGCCAAAATACATGACCACACATTATTAACTACACTTCAATAATTTTATTCTATGTATGTGCATCAAATGTACTGGAGTAGTATTCTAATTAGTAACATATATTAGTACAACAAGCACATGAATGATGTCACAAAGTTCTATATATACAATAGGCTCCAAGACATAATTGTATGCCCAACATAAGCAAGAACAATTAATGTATATTCTCTCACAAGGTGAGAAGATCCAGAGCTAATTGTGTTGTGAGGCAACAATGGCTACACTTTTCAAGCTCATCTCCATCTTCTTCATCCTCCTCTCCGTCTTCACAACCCACGTCCTTTCTGCTTCAGACGAATGTGGGAGCAATTCTGGTGAGTGCAATGACAAGGAGGGGGCATTAACCCTCAAGATTATTGCCATTTTCGCTATTCTGGTAACTAGCATGATAGGTGTTTGCTTACCACTTGTAACGCGTTCAATCCCGGCTCTAAGTCCCGATCGGAGCCCTTTTGTGATCGTTAAGGCTTTTGCCGCCGGGATCATACTAGCCACCGGATTCATGCACGTGTTACCGGACTCTTTTGACATGTTATCATCTACCTGCTTACCCGAAACTCCATGGCACAAGTTCCCTTTTACCGGTTTTGTTGCTATGTTGTCTGCTATAGTGACTCTAATGGTGGACTCAATGGCCACTACTATATATAGTCAGAAAAACAATGCTGGGATTAAACCGGAGACTGAAGTTGTCCGGGGAGACCAAGAGACGGGTGCCATGAGTTCCGGAAATTTACATGGATTCCACCACCATGGCCACGGGCCGACCACGATTGGAAGTGTAGGCTCACAACTATTACGTTATCGTGTGGTCGCCATGGTAAGTTGTCTCTATCAGTTATACCTTTAAGGAGAAAGGGTAAGATGGTCTTTTATGATGAAATTGTTCTTACTTGTAACAAATTAATAATTTAAGGGAGAAATTTGTAGTTCAGAAAATTATTTGCTAAAGGACAATGGTTCAAAGTTTTTTTTTTTTTTTGTACTTTACCCTAATAATAATATAGCATCGATCTCATATATATGTGCATGAATGCAGGTATTAGAAATGGGAATTGTTGTTCATTCAGTGGTGATAGGGCTCTCAATGGGAGCTTCAAACAACACTTGCACCATAAAACCACTAGTGGCTGCTCTCTGCTTCCATCAAATGTTTGAAGGAATGGGTCTCGGTGGTTGCATCCTCCAGGTATATATTTAAAGCTCAAAAACTACCTTTTCTTAAATATTAATCTCTGTCTTTGTGTCTCTCACATTGTCTCCAACATATATATATATATATATATATAGGCGGAGTATAAGTTGTTGAAGAAGGCAGTGATGGTGTTCTTCTTCTCTGTAACAACTCCATTTGGGATAGCACTGGGGATAGCATTGTCAAACACATACAAAGAAAATAGTCCAAGCTCTTTGATCACAGTTGGACTACTAAATGCATCATCGGCTGGGCTTTTGATCTACATGGCTCTGGTGGATCTTCTGTCTGCTGATTTCATGGGTCCAAAGTTGCAAGGTAGCATCAAGCTTCAAATCAAATCCTACATTGCAGTTCTTTTAGGTGCTGGTGGAATGTCTTTAATGGCCAAATGGGCTTAATTATTTACTAATTCACATCATCAATAAATCTACTTTCAACTGTGTGTGTAATATTATTACTGTACAATAGTCTGTACTCTGTGTAATATGGTTACTGTACTGTCATATTTCAACAAGCTATTTTCATGTTAAGTTGAATGTCAAATTTTCACACTTGAATAATTTCATTTCGAGTCATATAGTGGCAGTGAAATTGGTAATTTTAGGATTAGTAATGGTCGGGTCATACCACTAGCAATGGTCGTGGCAGATGAGATGATTGATTTTGTGGGTTCCGATCATACATATTACTAATTTAGAAATAAATGTTCGGTGTTGGGCCAAGAGTATATGCTTTTAGCCCGATTTACATAGTGTATAAAAAAAGTAAAGCATAACAAGAATAAATGGCCCAAAGGCAAGCCCAAAATGGACCAGCCCACAAAACAAGAGATAGCCATAACGACAGTTTCGATTCAAATCCGGTAGATAGTTGAGAATTTAGATGCAGGGGGGGATTAGTTGTTTGATTGGGATGAATATAAAATCAAATGGGAAGGAATGGAAAGAAATGAAAGAAAAAGTTATTACCTCCTCTCTTCTTTTCTCCCTCACTATCCCCTCTACCAAACATATAAGAATCATCCCCTTTTCTGTCTTCCCTCTTCCATTTCTTCCCTAACTATAATTCATATAGAATAGATTATAGAGGTTATATTAATTGCTCATTCCCACTCCCTTTTCTCTCTCTCATTATTTTTCCTTTTACTACACCAATTTCTTGTTGATTTGATCCCAAAAATCCATCACCACCCCTAACTTACTAATATATTCCAGGAAGAAATGAGAGATATTTTGTTCCAAAGTTTGGCATTTGAATTTTTTTCAAAAAGTATCTAATGCAAGTAAGACTTTAGGAAAGTATGTATGTGTTCGAGTTTCACCTTTTTGATTGAAAGAAAAGGGGCTGCGAATAGTCTCATAGGTACCACATTCTTTACTCTGGTGAATATCTATTCGAAAAGGTGCACAAGTTCTTCAATTACCTTGCGGACTTTTCAAGAATCAAGAAATCACTCAGATCTAAACTCGAACAAATGGAACTAAAAAGACCTTAACCAACTTTTCGTGATGTCTGGCTTACTCTTTCAAAAGCCTTCTTACCCCATTTCACTTTCTTAATTAAAAGAAAAGAAAAACATCATTAATTGGACTATGGTGTGCTTTATGAGGCTGACACACACAAAAAAAAAAATAATAATAAATAAAAATAAAAAAGCATCATTAATCTGATTTGGACCGGAAGAGAGTGAGAGAGGTATTTCACATGGACTGTTTACCTACACATTTCATTTTCTATTAATAATTTGAGGGCTCCTTCTCAGCAGCACATCAAATATCATCTTAATTTCCAGAGCCAAGATTTTAAGCAGTTAAAATGATGATGCAAAGCACAAATAGAGAGACCTGTCTCTATACCTCCCGTCTTTTTCTATTGCCTGTGTGTAATAACACCACCAACAATATCCACCCATACCTAATTTTAAGTTCTCCACCCAAAAATACCATAACTCTGAATTTTGTGTGTGATACACATATACTCCGCGCGTGTGTGTATGTGTATCGTAAATTTGTAAGGACTCACTTATTCACCCTCAGCTAAAATAAGAATTCAACTGATTGTATTAAGAAATTCAAGCAACTTCAGCTTTTGCTATATAGAGTAAAATATGTGTGCTCCATCAAGGAGACAAGAGTAAGCAAAACCAGGAGATCAATCCTCAACAAAATGACGAACTTTCAACATCTACAACATTAATTTCAAAATCCTTCTATTCTAAATTTCTAATAAGAAAAATCATACCTTTTCCATATTTCAGGAATCAATTTCTGTTTGTTACACATCCTTTCAGAAATCAAGTTAAGAATAAAATAAAGAAATCAAAATAGGATAAAAAAATAAAATAACAATTTTATACCATCTAAAAACATACATGTTATTACTCAAAATTTTACTGACGCAGAGATGTATCAAAAACTGTTAAAACCAATTTTTAAAACTATTAGAACCGATAAATTGGTTCGGACTGAATCTTACGATTTGGTCCGATTCTATAATAGAACAGTTTAGTTCTAATTGTAAAAATTAACTCTCCCAAGTCAATTCTAATATATATATATATATATATATATATATATATATATATATAGAAAAAGATTAATTCCTACTAATATTCTTTTTTCTCTTTTTAAACTTTTTCTAATGATACTGTGAAAAAAAAAAAAAAAAAAAAACTTTTTCTGTTGATAATGTTTTTGAGTTAAAACTTGAATCTTACCATGGTAATACTTTTGAATTGCAGTTCTTAGTAGCATCACACACGAAGAACAATTCATTCAATTGTTTAATCCATTGACGGAATATATGTCAAGAAATTCTATATTCATGTATTTGGTAAGATAATTAATTAAATAATGTAGAAGCATGTGAAAGGATCTATACATAATTTGGGTGAGAAGATTTGTCTAAATAATTCTCAACTTTAAAATAGTTAACACCCTTGAAGTTTGTTTAAATTTCTCTCCATCCTTAACTTGATTTGGACAAAACTTAGGGAGGTCACCCTAATTTTTAAGTAAAATTTATGAGTAGATATTTTACTTGCAGAGTCCACTAAATTATATATATATATATATATATATATATATATATATAATTTATTAGATATCTTGAGTGTAACCAATGAATACTAAGTTATTATTTTTTTTTAGGATAAAATGAAAAAAATTCCCTTAACTATGCATAATACTAGTGAGCTATCACATTTTGTTGAAAGATGTCTAATGCCTAAACTATATTTTATTAAATAACCATAATGTCCCTTTCTTATTGAATTACACTCAATTAATTTTTCTTGTTGAAATAAATCATGAAAAAATTCTTACTAATTTGATGACTTATTCTTCATTAAATTTACCTTTAATATTTAAAATTAATTGTTTAAATAAAACTCTTTAAGTATAAATTTTTAAAATTAATTTATTAATTTTTTCATGAGTATATTACATGAAAACAAGGTATTTTTTATTTAAGTAATTTATTAATTTTTCATCGATATGTTGTATGAAAAAGAAGGTATTTTTTATGGTTAAAAAGTTTAAAATGGGTATAACAAGTTTTATTATAAATAATAAAATTTTAATAATAAGTTAATCATTTTAGAAATTGGTAATTACAAATTTATTTTTTTATGATAAATTGATACTAATAATAAAATTAATGTAAATAGTTTAATTAATATTTATCAAAGAGAAAAAATAATTAAATAATTAAATAAGAAATGACTTAATGAGAAAGGGTAAAATAGTCTTTTGTAATAGATTTGCCTTTAATTGTGACAAATCAATACTTTAAAGGACTATTTTTAACCCAGAGTAATTATTTGCAAAAGTTTCAGGGGGTTATTTACACTTTACTCTTATTTTTTAATTAAAAAAAAAATTTATTTATTGACATTAAATACATCATAGGACCAGAAATATTCTATATATATATAGATAAAAGTGCAAAAAATTCTCCTAAATTATAAAAAAAAGAAAAGAAAAGAAAAGAAAAATAACCCTGAACTATCTACCAATGGCAATGGGGGTATAATAAGTTAATAACCCATCCACTCAAATATATGCCAGATAAATCTATTACGAAGTCATGTATTTAGGTAATTAATAAAAGAACGAAGCAGCCTGTGAAATGATCTATGCATAATTCTTATATGCAAATGTTTGATTTGCTGAATTCACCAAATTATTAAAAAAATTGTTGGACACACCTCATCAATATTAAATTATTATTTACCATTATAAAAAAAAAATTAAATATTTATTTATTGACAATTTCTTTCTATTTTGTGCCTTCTCCCCAGTTCTCTTCCTTCCAGCCCACAACAACCTACTTACTAGGACAGCGACAATTTCTTTCATATAATCCCCGAAATATTCAACTTTTTTTTTTTAATAAAAAAATTGCTATATGTACAGTGAGAAGGGCTGGAGTTGTGGAGAGAGGACTGGGATAACGTTGAACGAGACTGGGAATGCCAGCTCAGCAACTAAACAACCTGCCTTCTTTCTTACGCCATTAACACCAACAGTAACTGACGATTCTGTGGATTAGGGTTTCATATTCAATCCCTTTTCTTACATGCATATTTGTTTTCCTAATAAATAGTTTGTGGGTTTGTTGAGATTGGGAATGAAGATTATGAAGGTGAAGGGATTTTGATGGATTGACTTTGATTCAAATAAAAGTGCCTAGAATTTTTTTGAATTTTGTGTTTTAACTTTTGGGCCTCTGATTTCAATATATATATATATATATTTTTGAAGGTGTAGGTGGTAATAAATTTGAGGTTTAGATCCATTTGTTGGTGGTTAATTTTTAGACTTTGACATAAAAACAAGAGCTGAAAGATTTCTATTTGACAATTGTCTTTTGTGATTTTGAAACTTGGCTAGAATTTGGAGTTTCAAATGTATTTTTGTTGATGGGTTCTGCTTCGATTTTCGTTCAGAAATAGTCGCTGAAGTGTTTGCTGTGGGTTTGGCAAAAAAAGAAGCACAATTTTTAGAGCTTCGGATCCGTTTGTTCTTGGGTTTTGTGTAGACTTTGTATTCAATCACTCCTTGAAGTAGCGGAAAAATTGGTATTTGAAAATGAAGGAAGAAACACTTTTTGGTGACCAGTCTTGTGTGAAAGAGCTGAAATTAGAAGATGATGAGGAAGAGTTTCGGAGCTGTTGCGAAGACGAGGATGAATTAAAGGGGAGGGAAGAACCGTCAAAGGAAGATTTGAAATACGATGAATTTTCGGTGAAGATGTTCTTCAAGGGTGTATCAATAGCTCATGTTGGAGAGTCTGGTTCTGGGATTTCTGGAATTGGGGTTGTTTTGGAAAGATCAGCTAATTTTGCTGTTATTCAAGTTCAGAAAAAGCTTGATTTCTATGTGGAGGAGTCTGTGGCGGACTATTTAGCTTTGATGGATGGTCTATTGGAGGCTGTCCGCAACAAGATTAGGCGGGTTTTTGCTTTCACAGACTCTGAGGCCTTATATGATCAGGTAAGGGGATCCCACATTCTAAGAATTATTATTATTATTTTTTACTCTTTATCTTGTTTTCTCAATTTTGATTCCTGATGATCACAATAAACAATCAAGACATGCTCTCTGCTTTGGTATTTTGTCACATCAAAGTAAAAATTATGAAGTTTTATATTTGAATAGCAGCCACCCATTCTTTTCTTTTTTCTCCTTTCTGGTCAAGTCATTTATTCAAGTAAATTGTTTTCTTCCTCCACTTTGATTTCAGTTCTGAAGTTTCTGCAATATTAACTCTGTGATCCTTTAGCTCCAAAAAGAGAAAATTTTGGGTTACTGACTGCCATTTGTTATTCTTTCATAGCTCGGTATGGCTGGCAGAATTCAATTTATTGTTTGGTTTTTCCATAATCTGTCCTTATGTGGAATGAGAAATTCTGAGTGATTACCTTGGAGAAATGTTTGAAAATACCTTTCCGAATCATATATTTGCTTCCTCCAGCATTAATTGATGCCTCCTGTTCCTCACTGCTTATGATTTTTTTTCTAGAATACCAAACATGTATATGAATGTTTGACAGATTATGCATGAGAGTCTTGAGAATCCGCTTCTTGTAGCATTGAGGCAAAGGATCCTAGAACATGCCAATGGTCTGGACACCTTTCTTCTGAGAATTGTTCCCAGTTTTGATATGAAGAAGCCATTACACTTGGCCCGTGTGGCAATTGGGATGGTCTCTTTTCAATCTAAGGAAGATGAATCATTTGAAGAATGCTCCATCTGTTGTGAGGAGAAGCCACCGCCAATGATGTTCACATTCAAATGTAACCACAAGTTCTGTTCCGATTGTATGAAAACCTATGTTGATGGAAAAGTACAGTCCTCTCAAGTCCTTCTGAGATGCCCTCAGTTGAGATGCAAATATTTAATCACCTCCATGGAATGCAGATCTTTTCTTCCGGTTAACTCCTATGAAGCATTAGAGAGAGCCCTTGCAGAAGCAAATGTTCTCAACTCAAATAAAGTTTACTGCCCATTTCCTAATTGTTCGGTCCTCCTTGACCCTCGTGAATGCTTGTCAAGCAGGGCTAGTTCATCAAGCCAACCAGACAACAGCTGTGTGGAGTGCCCAGTTTGCCAGCAATTTATTTGTATAGAATGTGGGGTCCCCTGGCATTCTTCAATGAGCTGTGAGGAGTATCAAAACCTCCCGTTGGAGGAGAGGGATGCTGGAGACATTACTTTGCATCGTCTAGCACAAAATAAAAGGTGGATGCGTTGCCAGCAGTGCAGGGGGATGATTGAGCTTTTACATGGCCGCTACCACATGACCTGCTGGTAAGATCACTTTTCTTTTGTGAATTATTTTAGGTTTTAGAAATATTGTCTAAGAAAGAAGAAAGAAAATAATAGGAAACAATCAAAAATACCATTTTAGGTGTTGGAAAATTTAGGTCTGAGTTTGAATAGATGTTAATCTCTTTTCTCTCTTGTGAACCTATCTATTACTATGTTTTAAATTGATGCTGTTGATTTTCAAGTATTTCTACTTACCGATACATATATAAGCAAATACCATTTCAAATTTAAGTTTTGTAAATTGTTTTAATTTAACCGCGGGAAACAATAAAATGATCGACCTGACAAGTTTGTCTAGATTTTTATCTGGGTAGATGGTTTAAGGAAGATGATGACAAATGTGGAAGCAGTAGAAAAAGAAGAAAAATACTGCAAATTTTGCCTCCTAATGTGTATTTTTCTTTGTCATCTTCTTTTTATCTTTCTAATTAATTAACTTTTTTCTGGGGTCTTGGGGTGTGGTGACTGGGGAGGGAGCTGAAAGTTAAATTCTCTCTTTTTAAAATTAATGCCCTTGCTAGATGACCTAACCATTAAAAATAGCTCCAATTCACATTCTTTTTGAATTTTTTACGAAGCGGAAGCTAAATTGAAAGCATGCTTAAAGTAACTGGCAAGCACAAGTTATAGAGAAAACTAAAGTATTATTGATGAATGAAAATAGAGATGCTCTGCTAAACATGTATTTATAATAGTAGAGAAATTCTATCTAAATAAGGAATCCTTAAAACATCCCAAAATGGTAATATCTCTAAAAATCACGAAAAAATAAGAAATGAAATCTAATCACTAAAATTAAATAAATACCAAAAATCAGCACAATCCGATTTCAACCAAAAATTCGGCTGGCTTTCTATAATGTGAAAACAAAGCCCTAAATGATGGAATCTGGCAAAAAAAGCAATGTATGTCACGAGCTTTCCTCGCAAGTATTGATCGTTGGCCCGATTGAGATCAGGAATGGGTCTCTGTGAGTCGAAGCTCATTGAAATTGTCCATAAAAGTGTGTCAACCTCCGCATTTGGCCTTTAAGTGGTCCAAACGGTCCCAATAGTCATTGACAATCCATTCAATATCTATTTTTCTCTTTCAAATCTTGCTTTTGATCTACTTATTGCACTTAATTAGCAGTAGCATTGTAGTTAAATGCTAATTTAGGACAATTATGTACTTTTACAATTTAATCTTCTTCTTCTTTTTCTTTTTTTTTCTTTTTATTTTTATTTTATTTTATATGTCAGAGAAGAATGATTGAATAGCCCTCCAATAGTAATGTATCAGATTTAAGCTGTTCTAGCCTTGTTTTAATAATCTCTAGCTCTAACAAGATGGTATAGGCCGCCCCTTCATAATATGCTTCACATTATATATGTAATGGTCTACTTCTATATTTCCATTTCAGATAAAAGTACATGTTTTGCAACCCTAATTATCACATATGAATCTTAAATTTCATTGAAAAATTTATGATTGAAGTTTCACATGTTCCTTGTGAATCCGTGTCCAATTGTCCTTCCCTATGTTGTTTTATTACCATGTGGATGTGTTGGTTAAGGAACTCACTTAATGTTGGTTCCCCGTTAGTCGAGGGCATTGAGAAAGATGGACTCAGTATAGACTTAACCTTTCATTATTTGTTCAAAATGGTTGTTCGCATACTCAAAACTAGCATTCTCTTCAACCTAGATTCTTACAATTGCACCAAGCAATGGCTCCTAATATCAATGTTGTTGGTGTGTATTCATCATTATCAATATATATCGACATTGAAATTCTCTTTGCGGTGAAGTGAGTTTTGATATATTTTTATGTTTCAACTTTTTACATGAATTTCCTTTACTTCCTTTGTTTTAAGTTTATGAACCAAAAATCAGAATTAGGAAAGATATATTCAACTGTGCTACAGCACAAGCAGTCATGTTTCTTCCTTGCTTCCTTCCTTTCTTTTGCTTTTTGACTTGCATAGGTGTCACATAACTAAGCCGAATGCCTTGGGAATACTAATATGGAGATTGATTTAAAATTTTCATATATAGCACTGGATTTGATTTATATGGAAAGATAATATTGGACTCAATTAAAGTTACATATCACTTGGTTCAATTCTGTTTTTAAGTAGAAGTTTTCTGTCCATCTGAGAAGCCTTCTTCTGATTAACATGCTACTCGAGTACATTTCACTGCCCATTCATTTTTTGATAGATACAATAGATTTTGTCAAACAAGAAAAAACAGACAGGATAAAAATAATAATAAAAATAAATAAATAAATAAAAATTGTAGTTAGCAATTCATTGTGTTAGCTCATATCGTCAATGCAAGCAGAAGGGTGAAAATCTCTCACTAGATGTTCGTTGGGCAAGGCTCAAACTTGATTGTTATGATCATCGATACTAGAAGGCTATTCCTGACTAAAAATTCTTAACCAATTAGTATATATATTTTTAATATCCTTTGAGCAGTTGAATCAAACTAGTTAGATCCAACTGTATTAACTTCCTGTACCTGTTATTTAGGGAAATCTTTTTCCTTAGATGGGATTTTTTTTGGCTCAATTTTACTTTATGCAATTGCAGTTGCATTTGAGAACTTTGTATGCTACTTTGGCTTTGAGGGTGAGAAAAAAAAAAATCGAAAAATCATTAAACATACCGAACTGTTTTTGAAAGGTCATTTAGGTTACAAAATCTTATTCGGTTTTAGCAATTATGATTTTTTACTTCTACAAGTCCACCTTAGTAACGAGAATGAAATGCAGAATTGTAACCTAGTAAAACAATTCAATAATTCAAATGCTCACAGCTCATCTTGTGAGATAATATTTTGGAAGAAATGCTTACTGAAAGAAAGATATTTTAGAAGAAAGATACCAAAATAATTAAAAGGTTATTATAATTGGAATCAATTTGAACTTAGCTAATTGTCACGGGCTTAGAGTTTCAGCACCACTCTAGCTGGTCCCGTGCGGCACCAAGACGTTGCTCCCACTCTCGCAAGTACTTGGTCAGCCTAACTCCCGTGTACACCTTAGCCAACACACTCCCCTCGTGCGCTTACTAGTGTTGTAGTGGCCCTCGCCCTCTCCTCACTTGGCTTGCACACTCACACACACTAAGGCACTTAAGTTGGCAAGGAAAGAACATTTCTATTACTTCAAAGAATACTTTGTACAAGGCTAGCACTCAAGCTCTCTACAAGGCTCTCAAGACTCACTCTATGACTTGTTGGCTACAAAATGAAGTCCTACTTGTATTTATAGGCATCCCTATCCCTAATGGATGACTAGGATGCATTCTAACCAATGGTGGAGATCGATTCTCTAAAATCTTCTCCCACCTTCTTCACACTTCCATACTTATCCACACGTATCTACAACATTCTAGAACTCTCCGTACTACTCCACACAATTCTGGAGAACTCTAGAATATACTACACATATCTAGAATCTTCCACACAACTCTAGACAACTCCGGAAGACTCTAGAAACTCCACTCGCCATGCAGTTGTCATGCAGCGTCCTCCTCAGCGTCTGCGTGTCACCTGCGTGGCATAACCCCCATAGGCGGGGCGTGACATTCTCCCCCACCCATTTCCGTGACGCCCTCGTCACGATTTCTTTAGCTGACCCAACCTCTCGCAGGTCATCAGCACTTGCGCATATGTCCTTGGCCCAGATGTACAAGCACCCTTTGGGAGATGTAAGGTCCTCACGAGCTCCATCGTGTTGACTGCCACCTCTGGACTTTCCTTCCTTCCCACGAGCGGCACCATGCATGCGGCATTGCCTTCCTCGCCTCCAAGTATCATCAACGCACTAAGGCATGGTAGTGGCGATGCCTAAGAAGCACGGACACGGATACGGGACACGGATACGACACGACACGGACACGGAGACACGGCAAATCCAAAAAAATTAGGACACGGCACGGCGAATAGTGTATATATATATATATATATATATATATATATATATATATATATATATCAGCATTTATAATTTAAAAAAAAAAACACTGATATGTTAGTATATATATATATATCAGCATCTATAGGACACAGACACGGCTAATTGCGGCATCTTTAGGTTAGTATATATATATATATATCAGCATCTTTAGGGTAGTAAAAAACAAAAAATAGAACATATCAGCATTAAAAATTAAAAAAATAAAAATAAAAATAAACATATCAGCATTAAAAATTTAAAAAAAAAAAAAAAAAATCCAGAAAAGTGTGTCTGAGTCGTGTCTGAGCCGTGTCCGAGCCGTATCCGAGCTCTGTCCGAGCTGTCTGAGCCGTGTCCGAGCCGTGTCCGAAAATTAAAAAAAATAAAAAAATTCCAGACACGTTTTTTGGCGTGTCCGACACGTGTCGGGGCGTGTCCGTGTCCGACACGGATTCTTCGCTCATTTTGGAGTGTCCGTGCTTCCTAGGGAGCTGCGTTGTTCCTATCTATGAACTCTAGCCCCAGCACCATGTCGTGGTCGTCCATCTTCGCAACCTGGAAGTCGGCCTTGCCTTTTCACCCTTGCATGCATAGCTCCACCTCCTTGCACACTCTACTCACGCGTGCCTCTTCGGAGTTGACGGCCTTGATCCAGCCCTTCGTCTTGCGCATCTCCAAGCCAACTCGTTGCGCCTCCTTCGGGGTAATGAAGTTGTGTGTGGCGCCCGTGTCCACCAAGGCTTGCATGGCTTTGCCACTAACCTGCGCATCCACATAATGCACCCCGGCTACCTTCTTCACCTTGCCCTTCTTCTTGGTGTCATGCACCATGCTACTCGGCATCTGCATAGACCCCATACACCTGTCTTCGTCGCTGCCCGCATCGTCCACCTTGCCCTTGCCCTTATCCTTCACAAGGGTGCTCATGGTCTTCTTATTTGGGCAGTGTCGCAATATGTGCGGCCCTTCGCACAAGTAGCACTTCGGCTCCCATTTGCCCTTGTCGTAGCACTCCCCTTTGCCACTAGCCTTGGACCTCTCTCCATGGTCCTTGCCCTTGTCATGGCGTGGGCGTCTCTCCTCATCGCTGTGCTCATCATCACTGGACTTGGGTGAGCCCCCTTTCTTGAAGCGCCGGTCTCTCCCACCTTTGCCGTTGTCCCTCCTAGGAGACGTGGCCCTCTTGTCATCGCACCTAAAGTCTTCAAGGCGCTCCGCTATAGCCATTGCGGATGCCAAGTCTCTAAGCTCCCTCCTTCTCAGCTCTGTGGCTACTCAAGACTGCAACCCATCAATGAACAAGCACACGCGTTGCCGCTTCGGTATCTCTGGGATCTCCAACATCAAGTTGGAGTACTCCTTCACATACTCTCTTATGCTATCCTTTTGCTTCAGGCGCCTTAAGTTGATCATGGCGAGGTCCTCGACGCACTTAAGGTAGAACTGCCTCTTGAACTCCTCCCATGTGTCAACTGCTCGTGCGCCTTTACCGGTGAAGCGCTGCCTCCACCATAGAGCGGCAGTGTCCGTGAGGTACATGGTGCCTGTCTACACCTTCTCCTCATCATCCTCGATCTCCATGCACTCGAAGTACTGCTCCATGTGCCAGAAGAAGTTATCAATCTGGCGCGCATTCCTTGCCCCATCATACTTCTTGGGTTCTGGCGCCTTCTTCTTCCTTGGCTTCACCACGACCTCACGCACCTGGGAGAACTCCTTCTTGCACTCGGCAATCTCTACGCACAAGTCGTCTATCCGATCATGTAAGTCCCTTTCCTTCTCTTGTGCCTTGTTGGCGATGCCATCAATTAGCTCGTAGAGCTCCGCCATCCTTCTCTCGAGCCTGTTAAACTTGGTCTCTGTGTAGACCAAGTGTGTGGCAAGCTTCTCCTCCAAGCTCTACTCCAAGACGTGGACTTGGTGGTCTCCTTCGCTAGCCATGTCTACTCCAACAAAGCTCTCTTGACGAACCTGCTCTGATACTAACTGTCACGGGCTTAGAGTTTCAGCACCACTCTAGTTGCTCCCGTGCGCCAAGACGTTGCTCCCACTCTCGCAAGTACTTGGTCAACCTAACTCCCGTGCACACCTTAGCCAACACACTCCCCTTGTGTGCTTACTAGTGTTGTAGTGGCCCTCGCCCTCTCCTCACTTGACTTGCACACTCACATACACTAAGGCACTTAAGTCGGCAAGGAAAGAACACTTCTATTACTTCAAAGAATGCTTTGTACAAGGCTAGCACTCAAGCTCTCTACAAGGCTCTCAAGACTGACTCTAGGACTTGTTGGCTACAAAATGAAGTCCTACTCCTATTTATAGGCATCCCCATTCCTAATGGATGACTAGGATGCATTCTAACCAACGGTGGAAATCGATTCTCTAAAATCTTCTCCCACCTTCTTCACACTTTCATACTTATTCACAAGTATCTACAATATTCTAGAACTCTTCATACTACTCCACACAATTCTGAAGAATTCTAGAATATACTATACATATCTAGAATCTTCCACACAACTTTAGATAACTCCGGAAGACTCTAGAAACTCCACTCGCCATTCAGTTGCCATGCAGCGTTCTCCTCAGAGTCTGCGTGTCGCCTGCGTAGCACAACCTCCATAGGCGGAGCGTGACATAATGCTGTTTAATTTTAAGAGGTCATGTAAATATATGCCTAGGATGCTTTTGTCCAGCTATATCTTTCTCCCCCATGTCTGTGGGTGCTTGTTTGTGTGTGCACCACTCGACATGCATATATTTTTGCGTGCATTCCTGTGTGCGCAAATGCCCATGCACATGCTAGTGCCAGAATAGGTTCGCTATTCAATCCTTTTCAAGTTGGTTGATAAAGTGCAATATTCACATGCAGCTCTTGTTTATAGTTCCTTAACCGAGATTCGTTTTCATGTTTCTTATCGATCTGCAGGTGTGGCCAAGAGTTCTGTTATTCCTGTGGTGCTGAATATCAGGATGGCCAACAGACATGTCTATGTGCATTCTGGGAGGAAGAGAACTCTGACAATTTGCTCATTGAGCCTACGCAAGATTCTGAACAATGGGCATGGAATTCCTTTGATTCATTCCCCATGATTACAGATACTTACTCAGATCAGGAGAGATCACAACTGGCACTGATCCAGAGATTTCTTGCTGGGGGTTTCAGCCTGGGTGACCATCACACTTCCCAATCTCCGCCTCGCTGTGCAGATTCGTATGTCGATCCAATGAAGGATCTCCATCAGCTTCCTTGGCTCGAAAGGTTTGTCTCTGTGATAAGTGATAACTACTATGAAGACTATATCCAATGAAGCAGACATATGAATGCTTCATGTTCTGGAGAATGGAAAATGTTTGAAAGGGGATGGAAAAAGTTTCTCACTCTCACTCCAATTTCAACTTTAGTAAGCGTGGAAAATGTGCACTACTTCTGCTATGCAGTTTTCATTAAATTATTTATGTAATCTGTCATTCCTTGCGTAATGGTAAGGAAATGTATGATGATATATTTCTTCTGGAAAGGAAAATGTAGGGAGAGAAGAAAAAACATATATTTGATCAACAAATTGAAAGTGAAATAAACATGGTCCTCCGTGTGTATGTGTGATGCAAATGCACATATCAAAGGAAGGATGGTTTGCAGTTGTAGAGAACGTGACAGTATGTTTCAATTGAGCTCATTCCTCATTCCATGTAGAGGACACTTTTGTTAATTTCCAGCTGTTACCGTGTATAATTTCTTTGTATTAATAGCTAATTCCCTTGCCAGTTATAGACTTCCTCAAGGAGGCACTTTAGCGTTGATGATGTGAGAAGGCTGAGCAAAGAAGTAATCAGTGCATTGAAAGTGTCACGAATCAAAAATACATTATTGCAGGTTATCTGATCAAAACACACAAGATATTTCGTTTGACATTGAGGATCCTGAGGGCAAGGTACCATGTACAATGATATTCCGTGCTTGGATTTGGGGAGAAATAAATCGAAAAACCATGTACTAATGGAATTCTGTGTCTCGGTCGAAGGGCAAAAGTGTTGGTCCCAAATATATTGGATTAAGAAAAAAGACAAAAGTGCATAAAACTCTTCTGAATTATCACAAATCGACATTTTATCCCTTGGACTACAAAAATGAACAAATCAATACCACAACTATCAAAATCGTACAAATTAACCCTTGAAACTCAATTCTGGCCACTTTCTGGCCAACTTAATTGTAGATTTACAAAACTACCCATTGTAATTAAGAAAAATAAATAAATAAATAAAAAAACAAAAAAAAAAAAAAACAAGAAAAATAAATAACCAGCCTGAAATACCCTCAATGCCCCCTCATGCCCTGCCGGCCCTGTCGATTACATTGACACCTGAAAAATCTCACTTTCTCTCTCTACAAAACTCTCTATTTTTTTGTTTGAAACTCAGAACACTAACAAACACACAAAAATTCCACAAACAGAAGCATTTGCCTCTCTCTCTCTCAAATCTGAGCCATGGCGTCGTCTCTTGCAACAACAACTTCGGCCTCAGCTACTTTGGGTTACCAGAACTGCCCCCAATTCAAGCTCTTATTTACTTATTCTGTCTCATTCTCACTCTAGGGTCTCATATTGTCTCTCTCCCAAACCCAAATTAACTCCAAATCTTCACCAAGGTATGTATGCATGTATGTGCAATTGTAGTCTCTCTCTAAATATTTCAGTTTTCTGTAAATTAATCATATTCTTTAAATTCCGTTTGAAATTCCTTGTATTTATGAGATCAATCTCTGTTGCTCTCTCTGTATATGTGTGTGTGTGTGTGTGTATCGATTTGTAAAGCAAGATGGGTTTTTTTTCTCTCTCTCTCTATCCTTCTTGTTTTTACAGTCGTCTTGTCGATGTCAACAAATCACCTCTCAATTCAGATTACAAGGGTCAATCTGGTTCATTTTTTTGATACAGAATTTGGGTATGGTACTAGGTACAATTGGGCCAATATCTAGATGGTTTATTGCCACAAAATTCAAGTGCTCAGTAAATGGAGGCCAAACTGAGTGGAAAACAGAGAATTACTAAAAGACTGGTATGGTGGAGAGAGAGCCCCTTAGCTTTACGCTACCAGAGCCAAAAATACAAAAAGCTTGTTCACAACTTGAAGAATCGAATTATGAACTTTTGTATTAGAGTTCAGATTGTAATTGTCGCAGTTAGCAAATCAGTTTTGCTCATCTCCAGTTTCTTACTATATATGCCCATTGTTGTCATGTTTCCACTACTGTAGAAACACAGTATTAGAATCGAAACCCGGTACACAACAAGATCTTAGTGGTTTTGTTCTTCATCTTCATGGTGAGGAGGGACTGACCCGACAGATCATGAACATCATCATAAATGGTCTCTGGCTTCGGCTTTCTGCGGCGCGGAAATTGGTGATGGCGGCATGGGCTGGCGATGGGCTGTGGAGAGGTCGGTTGTGAACTTGCGGCACGGCACCGGTGGGTAAGGAAAACTCGGCTGTGAGCTTCTCGATGGTGAGTTCGGCTGTGATGTACATGGGCGCAGTACCGGCGGGCAAGAATTGGCCATCTGGATTTTTCGGTGCTGTTGTAATCGACATTGCTGGAGGAAGGATCAGAGATCGGAGCAGATGGTCTAGGAGACTGAGGCTTACTGGAGGGTGTGTTGATGGAGGTTCTTGTGGTATGTGAATTTCAAGAGTGGGTCAAATTGGGCTGAGTTGCATCAATTGCCATTTTAGTTTTACAAATAAGCTTGAAGAAGATGGATCAATTGATTCTGAGATCGAAAAAGTAGAAGAATTGTGGAAGAAAGTGTGTGTTGAGAAATTGGGGAAAATGAAAAGAACAGGTCACCACTTCCGGCCAACTTCATTCTAAAAATGAAAATGAATAAATAAATAATAGTATTAATGAGTATTCAAGGGTAATTTTGGAATTAAAAGAAAATGACTGTACTTGTGGGCCGAAAAGTGGCCGAAATTGAGTTTCAGTGATTAACTTGCACGGATTTGAATAGTTGTGGTAATGATTTGTTCATTTTTGTAATCCAGGAAATAAAATGCTAATTTGTGATTGTTCATTAGAGTTATTTGCACTTTTGCCAAGAAAAAGTAACCATCAAAATATAAATTTAACAATGCAACCAAATTACAACACCAAATATTTACGTGGAAAAAACCCTCCAACGTAGGAAAAAAAATCACAGCACTTGAGTAAACACAAAATACCCATAAATATTATGAGTTTCTCACCACACAGTATTTCTCTCACCACCCTCTATTTTTCCTCACTGTTTGTTTCTACTCACTTTGGAGGTGTCAACAATACCCATACGCCAGCAACACGCGTATGCTCACAACTCACCTTTACCGTCTTCTGGAAAACACCCAGATTTATATATCATTTTCCTTTTTTCTCATTATGACAAGTAATCAAACCCAAAACCAATCTCAAGTTTGACCGTGAATAGTAACAAATAGCACTAGCGGTTCACCGCTACTCACACCATATAATACCATATAATTTAGTTTTTCTTTTTCTTCCCTTGTGGGTGGAATACCCAACAAATCTCTCCACACCCACAAGGGAGAGACCAAACATGGACACATTCTTACCATCTTAACGGAAAGCTGGACTCCTCTGACAAGTCCTTTGCTCCCATTTTTTTAACAAACCCAATATACCCAAAAACCATATTTGAAAGGCAACCCATGCTTCTGGAAACTATTCCTCGGTTCTGTAATCTTCACTGGAGTACGCAGCCGCACCCCCTGATCAACACCTTCTATACCAGGAACACGAATTTACACCCTTTTTTCACTTGTGAGTGCTTTTTGCTGATGCCAAGAATTCAATAAACCATTCTTAATTACTTTTGCACAAGTTTTGTACAATGTACAACACGGTGTACCTCTCGCTATCCAATTTCCATTGCCAAAATAGTTTTGATAATCCAACTTATCCAATGCAATCCTAGAAATCAGATTAAAACACAAATCAAGAACATGACGTACATCTTTCAACGTCAATTTGCAGCGAGTATTAGTATTAATACATATATCTCCAACATCCACATTCTTCGAAAAATCCGTATTTCCCATCTTCACTATCCCGAAATCCCCTGCTTTGTAGGACATGAACAATTTCTTTGCAGGTGTAGCATGGTAAAAAGTTGCAATGTCTACAACCCACTCAGCATCTTGATTTGTAGTATGCTTGCATTTTTCACCTCCTAACGTGAGCACCACCAACTCTTCATTTGTTATAGGGCAGTCGTGCCATCGACACTATCCTTATCCTTCTTATTTTCTTTTTCATCCTATTGTTTCAGCCAATGCCAACAAAACCTCTTTATATGACCTATATATCTTGCCACAATGAAAACACGTTCTCTCTTCTCTATGATGTGACTTGCCTATGAATCAACTCTCATCTCTAGCCTATGACATGCCTTTGAACCGACTTTCAGGTCCTCTATTAAACCCTCTGGATCTTCTCGTGTCATTCCTGTCATTATCCTCTGCAACAAGAGCTTGAGTCTGAACTTTATCTCTATCACCATCTTTTCGTTGTAATTCTTCATTGAACATGTAATCTTTCACCACATTCAGCGTCAATTTACCATCAGGAGCAGAATTGTTTAGCGATACCACCAAAGTTTCCTAATTGTCAGGCAATGAACTCAGAAGTAACAATGCATGTAACTCATCATCCAACACCATCATCATCGTGGTTATCTAATTCACCAAACTCTGGAAATAACTCGAGTGCTCTGCAACAGAATTCCCTTCCCTGAACTTCACATTCACCATTCTTCTTATAAAAAACGCTTTATTCTAGCCAGTTTTCTTCTCGTACAATGACTCCAATTTCTTCTAGAGACTATTAGCATTAGTCTCCTGAGAAACATGGTGATGTGGTCAATCCACTGTCTTCCCTATTGATCTTCTCCCAGTTTTTTGCACTTTTTTTTCAGCACGCTTGTCACTACTATAAGAAAAGTTGGCTCTTACAATACATCATTTACGGGTGCCAGTGTATTGCCTCGTAAAAAGTTTATTTTACGAGGTGTTTCTTGTGCGTCTTGTAACAATGAGCTTATCATTAATTACTAAATTTTTAACAGGAGTCTTGTTTGCCTTTATTGTTCCCCCCCCCCCCCCCCCCCAAAAAAAATGGGGCTCTTTAATTTCATTTTACCTCTCTCATTCACGCCATTCCCATTTCTCTGGCAAAGCCCTAGTCTGAATCAGTTCTCACATCACTTGTCATTCTCCTTCTCTCACACTCCTATGGCTCCATTCGCCATCCCCATCTCCCTCTGGTTGCTTCCGCTCACTGCATAGTGATTGAAGCCCTAGCCTAATGTTCTCTCCCAGTCAGATTGAAACAGAAAACCTAGAGTGGAACTAGTATCGAAGCCAATAATGGTGCATAAGCCCGAGCAATAAAGTGCTTTGAACTCCATTCAAGCTTGATCCACCCAAGAAAATCGGGTATTTTATGTTTAATCAATTTTTTTTTTTTTCTTAATCTTGGGATTTTCTTCAGAAGAATTTGTTGTATTTTTTATTTTCTCCTAATCTAGGGTTTATTATAGGTAGATAAAGCAAAAAGTACAAAATTTTCTCCATAACCATTATAGTAGCGGAGGTATCCTATATTTGTTCAATTTCTACTCCAAAAAATATCTTGACATTGTGTGTCTGTGTA